TTTTACTAGTTCTGCTTTGTAAGCTCAGAAAGAAAAAAAAAAAATAGGTATCCTGCATCACACATTTTTTCCTTAATTGTATATTATTTTCTAAGAAAAAGTAATATAGTGGGACGGGTCTTTCATTTTTAGGGTAAGAAAAAAGGAAAAAAAAAAAAAATAAACGGAAATAAATGCAAAAGCCACTCTCAGAGGAAGAACGTGCGGCCAAGGAGGCCCGGCTAAATGAACTCCGTGAACAAATGAATGCCCGGGGTGAAGTCTCATCGTCTACACCAGCAGCACATAATGAGTCTATCAATACCTGCGAGAATAATGATGAAGTGTCATCCAGTGAAAATGAAGACTGGGAAGATGAATTTATGCGGGAGATGGAGCGTGAGCAGGAGAATGGTGGTCCTGCTGTCTGTATGTACACTCAAGAAATGGGAGAGCTTATGGGTGAAACAGTGGAAACTGGTGCTAATGCTAGACGATGTACAGTCGGTGATTTTGAGTTGCTTCGTTTGGCTAAAATGGGTGATCTCGTATCTTTCACAGAGTTCGCATCTCTTATGGGTATGGATCCCGTTAATTTCAGAGATAATCATGAACGAAATGCCCTACACTATGCGGCAGACAGTGGTAGTCTTCCTATGCTTAAGTATCTTATTGAAAAGAAAATACCCTTTACGACAGATGAAAAAATGATGACTCCATTGGATATTGCGGCTTTAAATAAACATGAAGAAGCTGTAGAATTGCTTCTGAAAGAATTTCCTCAGGCAGCTCAAGTTATGAAAAGTCATGAGGATGCCGTAGAGGCTTTTATGCGACAACCACCAAAGTTTACAATGTCCAAACCTGTTCCACCTCCACTACAGGATTCCCGTCCACGTGCCTTTTGGAAAAGTGACAAGGAAGGTGCTAACACTTTAAATACTATGAATGAAGTTAAGGTTTCTCAACTCCATGATGCTCAACATGACTTGGTTGTGAGTACTTTGAAGGATATGAGTTTAACCCGTGATTCTCATGGGTTACATAACTGGTTACCTCCCTCTGAACCAACAACACTGGCTGCAGTTCTTCCTCAAGCTACTATTGTTGGAGCCATGCGAACATCCAACGAAGAGGAGGTTTTAACTGGAACAGTTTTGGCAGTCCCATTGGGTGGGTCACTCATAGGCAAGAAAGGTGCTGTTAAGATTTCAAACCCATTTCTGATAACTCAGTTGGCAGTTCATCCTTCAGTTCGTGGAGCCAATATTGCTGCATTAATGATGATTGAATTGGAGAAGTTAATAAAGAATGCTGGTGGTTCTGCTGTTGTTTTTCGAAGTTCACTTCAGTTGCCTGTACAAGCGATCGGTCTAGTGAAGTGGTCTCGTCGAGCCATTGCGCCTTGCAGTGTCTTTAAACGTCGCTACGCTACAGAAGTTTTTCCTGATTTTTTTCAATACGATGATGTTCTTCGTGCTGATGTTATTACTAAAAATGCCTTGACTAAGGTATTTCACGCACAGAAGGCAACTCACAGTAAAGGATGGTGTATTGTGGACCGCTCTAACAGTGATCAAGTTAAACTTGTATATGAATTTATGCAATCTAACGTTCCCAATATGTTTGAATTGGCCTATTTGCCTTCTACAGAAGAAGATGTTCTCGCATCGGTAATTACTGATGGACTTTCCTCTTTTGTTTATGTGTCACCCACTACTGGTGCTATCACAGATCTTGTTGTTTTGCGTGTCCGGGACTCAGTAGGTAAAAACGATGACTCTAAGAGTCTTGCACAATGTGTATACGCTATTTTTACTTCCTTTAAGGGTGCTGAGAAGGCAGAGGAAGTACTTGTCCTCGCTGAATTGCTAAAGTGTGAGACTGTATTAATTCCGAATATGTTTGGTTTTGTAGACAGCGATCTGAGTAAAGCCATGTTTGAGGAGCTACTGCTTTGCCGCGAGTATTTGTACGTGTTGAAATCCAAAACAGAATCCGTGATGCCGCCAACACCCCTATCAAAGGTTGCTATTTCCTGTGCCTTTATTTAGAAGTAAAGATAAACGAATTGCTCCACTGGGCGATGGATGATAGTTGGGTCAGTGTATCTGTGTACGTGTCTATCTATCTATCTATCTATCTATCTATACGTGTGTGCGTGCGTTTTTTTTTTTTTTTTCGTTTGTTTGTTTGTTTGTTTTGTTTTCTTGCTTGTTTCCTTTTTATGATGGTGTGAAATAGCTCGTATCACCTGTGGATAAAATAGAGTATAAGAGGGGGGAACATGAGCACCACCATCACCAGCAGCAGCAGCAGCAGCGGCAGGAACACGAAGAGAAACCAAGTTTTTTTTTTTTGTTTGTTTATAGGTAGATGCAAAGAAGAAGAATAAGTAAACTTTGGCAGCGTGTAGTATGAACCCTCAACATTTTTATTTTGTGTTGTTGTTGTTGTTGTTGTTGTTTTTTTTTTTTTTTGGCTTGTTGCGCAGCTGTGACAGGCATGAGTTCCGCTGGGGAATGTTACCATCCTGCTTTTATACGCGTAAAGGAAAATACAAACGTCAAAAGAAGAATGACGAAAGAAAACAAAACAACAACAACAACAAGGAAAAAAAAAAAAGAGAGCAGGATTTAGCTGTAGTGTGGGCCTGCAGCAATAAAAATAGAACGTAACCGTGACGATGAAAAAGTAATGAGTCACCAGAGAATTAACTATTGATCCCAAACACTATGATGGAAAAGGAAGAAGAAGGGAGTGGGGAACGACAGCGAGTTTCGTTTTTAAAAAAAAATAAAATAAAATAAGCGTTCGCTCTTTGTGTACCCAGTGTATCTCTGTGTGTGTGTGTGTGTTTGTTTCTCTTTCTGTATGTTTGCTGTTGAGGCGTTAACAACGATGACATGTTGTCATCCCTGAGCTTTGATTATTATTAATTTTTTATTATTATTGATATTTACTTTTTTTTTTTTTACTTTGATCTTTGCTTATTTATTTATTTATTTATTTATTTATTTATTAAATGAAAAACTCACTTTTATTTCTCCTTTCTATTTATTTTTTCTATTTTAATGAGAAAGGAATGAGATTTATCAAATACGTATGCCGAGGAGTTCCTCTCTCCACGAGCCCGTATCACATCTCAAAGGGTGGTCTTGCAAAGACGGAGACTTCTTCATACGATGTGTTCCCTCATCTTCTTCTGCAACTTGCACCGGCGTCTGTTTTGGTTTATTCCTCCTCTACAGCAACCCCATATGATAATAATGGTGTGACTCGCCGTTGGCGTTATCATCGAAAAATGTCTGGTTCCGTGCATTCACCTTTCAGCCTTGCTCTTCGTCATTCTGCTACCGTGGCGAGATCACCTGGAGAAGCGAGTGGAAGAGGCGGAGAAATGGAGGAGGCGGAAGCGCTACTGCGAGAACGATTCGGTCCTCAGGCTAAACTGGTGCTTCGACGCTCTCCAAAACGTCACGTCCGGCGTAATTCTTCTGCTGCGGCGGTTCAGTCCATACAAGAGGGAGGAGACGGTGAAGAAGAAGATGTTGTGGAGGAAGAGGAGCCTGTCGCCAGTGCTGTGGGAAGCACTGAACATGATAGTCATTCAAGAAATCCAGAATCATTACAAGACAACATGGAGTATAGGGCCTCCGCAACATGTCGACTGCTTGGGTTTCCGGTTGAACTCGCAGCAGCAAGTGGTCAAGAAGCTCAAGAGGTTTTAGCGTATGTGCTGAATGAAGCACTTGGAAGTGATGTGATTTTTATACATCCACAGCAGAGGTTATCTGCATCATCACAGAAAGGACGAGGTAGATCTAGGGGTCGTGGTCAACAAAGACGGGGAGGTGGTTATCAGCAACACTCAAATACCTCTACCCTCTCACCACGACAGATGGAGTTTAAGGCGATTTTGGATGAATTAAGAGAGTTGTGTGTACACTTTAGTCGAGTGTTAAAGTTCTCTATTAAGTCTCCCCAAGCCACACATCAGAAACAACAACAAGAACAAGAAGGAGAGGAGAAAAATGGAGGTGAGCGTAGTGCGAGGCAGCGTGAATGGCGTTGCCGAGCCTATGTGCGGGATGAGTGGGGTGTCGCACCCAGTTTGACCTTCACAGGTGAAGCACGCGGTCAGTCCGCTAATGATTCACTTATGCGCTGTTTTGCAATGCTTAGGGATCGTTACCGTAGCGAGCTGGACTCCGCCTTTGTGCAATTGGAAAGTGTTCGTGAAGTGGAAGCTTTTGTGCAGCCATGGGGTAAAACTGTCGAAAGTCATTGTTTTGAGGAAAATAACACAGATGAGACAGAATCAACAACGAATGAAAATCGAAAGAGTGGACAGAAAAAGAAGAAAAATGTGGATTCCTCACGAGAATCAGATGTCATAGAGGGAGAGGAGACAGGGTCATCAACGACAGTCTCATTGGAGGAGCAGTACCGAGTTTCGCGACCGACAACATATACTGCTGCTGTTATTGTAGAGGATGCAGAAGGAAATGTTTTTGTGAGTCAAGTGAAGCGTCAGTCTACACCTTTAAGTGCGTATCAGAGCGCATCTATTCAGGCGCTACGCTCTGAGGCATCTCTTTCATCTGATGTTACTATTCTAGATCAGACTCTTCCACCCTCACCTTTGCTTGTTCGCATGCGATGGCAGTTTGATGCAATGGTACAGTACTTGGCTCAACAACAAGGGAAACGACCGGAGGAGTTTGCTGAAATTCGAATTGAAGGAGATGGTGGTAACAACAGCTGCGGTGGCAGTACTACTACTACTACTACTACTACTACTA